ATGACCCATCCGATCTATCACTTTTCTCAACGATAAGGGAATTTTCAGCTCAATCATGGAACCATCCGAGTCATTTGGGCAACCCATTAAGGGTCAAGCAATGTCCTATGCCCCTGAAAAGGGCAACAGGTAGAGCGTGGCTTCTCTTATGTGCATGACGCCATGAGCCTACATCTGGTTTGCCCTTCCCAGTCATCATCAATGCATTCCAGGCCTGTGAAGTTCTTATTTATTTACTTGTTTAGTTAGAGTATACAACCAGAGTGAGGCATGGAAGCAATAACTCCTTCGATATTGGGATCAAGAAGAGAGCAAGGACTCATTGAAGGAGCCCTGTGTAAAGCTGCCAGGGATTGGAAAGAGGATTTGCAGGGGAAATAGAGTGGGATCGACCATAGCCAGCTTGTGTAAGCAACTATCACAGGGACCTCAAACACAACACAAACAAGAGTAACATAACCAACTATCTACATGCACAAGTTGGCCATGATCCGCTTCGGACGGACGCTCCAATAGAAATCCTAGAACCATCGTGGGGGTCAACGTCGAACGTGGAACTGACACCATGGATAAAAGCCTTTGTGACACAAAGATTATAAATTCGCAGATTCTAGACAGTGTCCCCCACAGGTATTTCACAATTGTGAATGAAAATGAACAGTTTGGCAGGTGGGCTTGCTAGTATCAAACGGTCAAGCAATAGGCTGGAATGGGAAGGAGAGTCCCAACAGGAATACAACTAGACACAAGCGTTATAAGCTGAAGAAAGATAGATTTCCTTGTTATCAGGAAGTGAGATGATAAGAAGTATGCTTGACATTTCTCAAAGGCCTCAGAAGAAGCAGATCTAGTGGAATCAGAATTGGCCGATTCATCCTTATCATTTTCAGAAGCTCAATCGTCAATCACTGACTACCCGAGCAATTCTGTTCTGCTTAGCCACCACCTGCTAGTGAGCGGCGGTATAGCGAGAAATCCTTATTTAGAAAGTATATCAATAAACCAGTACACAAGTTCAAAAAGGCAGATCGCTACAGTTTCTAGTGAAGATACTCTTTACCAACTAACAAGGGAAGAATACTTGCTTGCAGTGACCATTTAAGATGAGATGTATACCCCCGTAGGTGGCTTCGAACGCTGATCTCAAATCTGTGCTCCAAATCTGCCAAACGTCCTAATGGGTCCCGTAACTTTGCTCCCAGAATCGGTTAGCAGATTTGGAACACAGATTTGAGATCACCGTTCGAAACCACCTACGGGGGTATACATCTCATCTTGAATGGCCACTGCGACCTAGTCCTTCCCTTGTAAGTAGCGTAGTAAGGACACGGGCCTATGTTAAAATTTGCATAATGCGGAAGAATAACCTTTAAAAGTTCAGTACTCTATCCTACCTGAGAAATGAGAAGTAAATTGAATGTCCTTTGCCTTTTATTGATCCTCCATTCTTTGATACATATGATTATAGTAAGAATATGTAGTGGGAGAGATACACAATTGATAGCAATAAAAACCCATTGCGTCCATATTAGAGCCATTTTCTTCCCAGAAAGAGGCAGGAACAAATACAGTTCCTTGAATTAATTAAAATCATTAAATAACATAGTTTATAGTGGCAAACACCATGGAAATGTCGACGGGAAAAGCGAGATCTAAAAATGACCGTCCAGAAATGATTATGTAATGATCTTTTGAGGAATAATAATACAATTCCCAACAGACTACAGTAATCGAATTCAAGTAATGAGTCATATGGTACTCCGATTACCGGCGTTGTTGGGAAGGCAGCGTTGGAAGAGCAGAAATCTCGACAGAAACCTTTTTTTCCTAGAGATGGACGTAACTGCTTATTATCTCTGTGGAGAATCCATTTTAATTAAACTATACTTTTCGCGTCGACAATTTTCAATTACATTCCAACATATTTTGTAACGGATGACTTCTTCCCAAACAGTCGTGTTCCAAGTGAAATTACCTATCTGCTCATTTCCCGTTGTCGATTCGATCCCCTATCGGAAAGGATACGACGTTGCACCATTACATCATTGCATTGATGGGTGCAATTCTAGCGTGAATTCCAGTGACAATCCATAAGCAGAGCTTACTACTCGGAAAGAGGTGCTCAGATGCTTTGCAAGGGAAATGAAGGTTGCATTGGATGGATTGTTACGAAGAAATCGCGTTAGCAACACCTTTTCCAAAAGGTATGTGGCCTACAAGACGTAAGCATCGGGGGAATCCCGTTTGAGACCGCCAAGTGTTCTGTATTAAGCTCAGCCACCTCTTGATGACTGATGGTGAGCTCCAGGCAGAGCACCTTGGTACATAGGACGTCAGAAGAGCCATATCCCGACAACCAGAACAGGTTTCGGGGTTACATGAATAAGCTAACAATAAGTCGAGGAAGGAGATGATCAGAGCTATCTACTGGCAGTTGTGTAACATTTATTCGCTTTTCATTTAAATACTCTACTACAAAACTGTGGGAATATCTCATAATATAGAGAAATATAGTAGTAACAGAATAAGAGTGAGTTCAAGAAATTTCTATTCTAAAGGTAAAGCGGGAGATTGAAACCCAACACCAAGAACTCTAAATCACATCAGGTTTCAGGTAGGGGGTTGATTGGGACTTGATTAAATATTATCCTAATGATGTAGATATATTAAGCCGTAGTTGTGCCTGACGCATTACCTCAGTACAACGCTCAAAGAGACAGGAATTTATGAGAGCTCTGAGCTTGAGTACAACGAGTCTTGAGCTTAACAGTATCAGATGTAACACTTTTCTTAGACGATGTGTCAAAGCATAACTAAACCGGTGCGTTCGCCGAGTTCTGTGAACTGTGAAATCATTGGAATCACGGGATCCATTACGGATAATGCAGTAATGAGACATGATCCCACGCATGCCCCCAAAAGTCCCGCCTTCCTAACCAATGGTGTAGGAAATAGGAAGATTCAAAAGAATCTCGTGATCACCTGAGGTCGATCTTGGTGTTCTAGAGGGAGATCGGGGTCTTTATGCGATTGTAGGATTCCGCTGGGATCACCTACCCTAGTCACGACAATCGCCTTACTGTGAATGGTTGGTTTCCCGTCGAAAAACTGACATGAAAATGTAGATGGTCCTTATTGGCTCAAAGTTTCCTAGGTCCTTTCCTAAAACTGGCTATCAAGCGCCTCCTGTTTTACAGTAGAAGGTTTCAATGTCAAGTTTGAGATATTTTTTTTCAGTGAAGGAATCAAAACCTATATGAAGCCGCCTGAACCTTTACGGGTTTTCTAGAAGTCGTTGGCTGTTTCTAGAATATTTTCAAGTATCCATCAAATAAAGAGAGAGTGATATCTTTCGACGAAACGGAGCTGTTTGAAATGCATGCCACGGAGTATCCCTGTGAGTTGTTAAGACGTTGAGAATAAAAGGTAATGGAATTCCCAAGCGGGAACTACAACTGTAGTTCTACTAAGACCTGAAGCAGGTAATTAAGGCCTCCTGAGTTGACTTCTTTACATAAGTAAACAAGGGCTTGCCAATTCAGACAGATGTAAGATTTAAGGCTTGACAGTTCACAACTGATCAAGTATTCTGAGAGGTGAAATATCGTAAATCTTCGAGTGGGACCTAGCGTTTGATAAATAGTTCACCCAGAAACTTGAATCACTGGGTGAATTTCACCTACCCAAATTCCCACAGTTACAGCTTTGTTGAGTCACCCATGAGCCATCACCTGAATCACCCCTCGTCCCGTTGATCATCGATTTTCTCGAGCGGGTGCCAGTAACGTCTCAATTCGTCCCTGTCGCGAGCTAGGCTGGTCCAGTGGAGTGACATGGATGGAGTTACTTCTCCAGTCGATGGCCCGTCTTCTTCAGCTCTCGTGATATATAGCGCTAGAAATAGCGAGTATCGAAAGAATGTTCAGGAGAACTCGCCTTCGAGGTATCGGTTGTTAATTTCATATTCTTCTATTGGGTTAACGGGTGCAAGTACAAAGTGATTCACCTTTTTTGTGACTATTTATGTCGTACTCTTACAAGAAAGAAAAGGACAAGCTCGGTTCTCCGAAGGTTATTCCACCACTGGCCACGTTCAAAGGGACTTCACAGTTGACAGACCGCTGAATGTACAAGTTTTATTATTCAATTTCTTAGCCCTTCTGTCTGGGAATGCATTCAATGCGACTGAGTATAACAGTAGTGGTTTGCAACACGGTCTGGTACATCTGAACAATCTGCTGACTAACCAGCTTGAGCTGGCGCTGTTGGATGACGTAGATCTGCCTAGACACATTGATGGAGATGCTATCAACAGAGAATTTCCACGAATGACATCACCCCTAACCGTTGTGAATCCTCAGACCTTCTGAGATCTCATACATGTCTTCTCTCGTGCTCGAAATCCAATAATACGAATATTTCTAATCAAGCAGAACAATTTTGTGGCTGATAATGGATGAAATCTCCTTCCACGTGTTTTATTGGTCACGCGATCTCAACCGTCAGCGAGCTCATGATCGAAATTTTCTATGACAACCTCGAAACAGCCTGGGCCACCTTCAACACAATTTCCGACCCTGATTGGGGCTTGGCATTCAAATCAGCGACCGTGCTTCTGGAAAGGTGTTGACATCGCTGGCACGTGATCTGATGTTGTCAACACCTTTCTGGAACCGCCGTCGCGACACGCGTTGAATGGACTGACGGACGGACGTCGAAGTCTGAAAGCAGCCATTCGCATGCTTTTGTTGACTTAGATTTGCATGTTTTTTTGCGCCTACAATTTTTATTTTCAAACTTTGTTACCTCTAGTGGTCGACTCATAAAATACCAGTAAAGCTTTATTTGTTGAGGGTCGTATGTTTACCGAATTATTTCAGATGCTACTATGCTGAATGTGCTTTTACATGACCGGTGTTTGTGGGGCTAAACTGGAACAGTTATGCTTTTGGAATAGCTGTAATGTACAGAATTTGTATTTTACTTTTTTATTCAACATATTATTCGTCCCAGTTGTCGGCCCAGTCACGGTGATAAGTCGGATTGGCGGTCCAGAAGTGCGCATAGTCTTCAACGCCGTAAAGATCATTTGGTTCCCGGGCCTCCCAGTGGCGATATTTGCACTTGGAACCACTCATCCATATCCAATTCTTTCTACTGGAGTCGCGTTTTATCCCAATCCACATCCATTTCAAAATATTATCCTCTGGTACACTATGTAATCCAAGTCCTGCAACGAATGTGTTCTCCTCCTCACTGCATATAGTAACCATATGGCCATTGAGCTTTTGACAGCTCTTTTCAGCTTCTTCAGCAGTCTTTTTATCACAAAATTTTCTGTAGCATTTCTCAGTCTCGACATTCCAGATCCACGGTGAACATGGGCTCTGTTCCCAGACGATGACCTTTGTCAGTATCAGGACACTGATAATTATTTGTGAAGTCATAACAGGCATACGGCTGATTAGGCCCCGAAACACTTTTTTTTCACATTGAAGCTCCTGAGACCTGGAACATGTTTGAATTGAAGAATGATCATGAACCCGGAGAACGTCTTTTCTAGCGACGTAGTCTACAGATGTGAAACCATTTGAAATCAGCAAACACTAATCACTCCTTACCCACAGATCCTTATTACAGCTAATCCTGCTCATTGGCTTAAAGGGATAACTGAACTCACCAACACGTGCAACGGCTACGAATGTGCGTGAAATGAACCACACCTTGCTGCGTAAACATCTGAGGGAGCATGGTGGTAATCCCGATAAGATAAGATAAGATATGATAACTTGCGGAACCAATGTTAATTCTGGCCATGATCATGTTGCATACCAGTTATTTCAAGTGTACAAATTGATCTTCACATAATGGCATCCCGAACTTAGCCGTTCAATCGTTCCGGGTATAGAAATGACTAACTAAGGCAAGGCAACCTACACCGGATTACTGTAGAAACCGATTCTCGGTTAGAGAACGTCGTTCAGTAGAAAGGAATGGATAT